CAATGTACATATGCATACAAACATGCAGAGATGCAATATAAGGAGAGAACAGAAAATAGAAAGACAACATATACATGCATATTCTGATTATGTCTTTATAGATATGTACATTCAAAGTCACTGAAATGAAAGAAAAACATGTGGACTGATTTGACCCCAGCCAGAGCAAAAAAAAACAACCAACCAAAACAACCAAAAGAAGCCGAACAAGATTGGAAAATATGGAGAGAGCTGCTTCATAGCATTAGGCATGGTTAAATGTATAGCACTAGTATCATCACAAACACGTTGCTTTGTGGCATAAAAGAAAATACTGATGCCTCACTGATGGTAAAGTGGTAGGAAGAATCCCATAAACTATGCTGTGCATGTTTTCCCTACTTGATTATTCTTCCCAGCCTGATTGAATGTTGAGAATTAATTGTGGTGTTAGTGATTCTGTCTGTCCATTTTTCAGTTACAGACAAATCCTCAGTTGCTTAGATACAATTCAAGGATGCTGGCAGTCACCTGCAAGGCCCTTCTTGGCTTGGGTCTGGATTACTTAGAGATCCATACCCATATCTCCTTTGTTGTTTTTGTCTGTCCTGTTGGCGTGCTCGGAGTCCTGTCATGGCTAAGGAGAACTTTATGTGTCATAGCACCCGCCCTCTGAATCATGTTCCCTCTGAAGGCTGAAGGCCTTTTAACTTCTGGCCAAATCTTAAAGACTTGATCGCTGCTTGTTCCCAGGTCTCACTGGTGTTACGGATGGATCCCATTTTCTGGACTAATGATTGTTTGTGATTTTGCATGGTAGCTATGTCCAGTATTTATTATGTGTGTCTGTTTGCTTTTATTTTTAATATAATAGCTGCTCAAAGTTATTTATTTTAAATGGATTGATTAAACAAACAAACAAACAAACAAATAATCTACCAGATACCAAGAGTTCTCTTACTCCAGGAAATGGGTGATAATGAGAGTTCCACTGTTTGTTCTTTTCATACTTATTCAGCATGGCTAATGGTAAAGGATTCTGTCCAAAAACACCTGAATGATACATGTTCCTTGTTTTATAGGATAACAACCAGGCTTAGTGTTTTACAGGCTAATAACCATTCTTATCATCTTTTTTCAATGCTTAGGCCCCTGCCTTTTCTGTTTTTTAGCATGAACAATAAAGCGCCAGACTTTCTTTGAAGACAACTTGATATTTTGAAGTTAACTGTTCAAAGAGAACGGATAATGTTAGAATAAAATGTGTTGCGTAAAATAAAAACATCAAGAAATCTAATCAGGTTTTCTTTAAAAGCATACAGAAAGATTCTATGTAAGGTCCAGTCTTCTTCCTTGAAAGAAATTTGATCAATGGTTAAAAAGTGAACACCAAAAGAACCATCAAAAGCTTTTTTTAGATTATCCATTAAATAGTATAGAAAGCTAACTTTGAAATTAATATTAAGGAGTAGCAGTATTAATAGGTGACAAGGATGACAATGACGATGACAGTGATGACTCCAATATGCTGTTTTAGAATTTGTGTTTCATATAGTTTAATAAAATTATAGAATAGAATTCTTTATTGGCCAACTGTGATTGGACACACAAGGAATTTGTCTTTGCTAATAGAATAAATATCATGTAGAAAAGGAGAACTACTAAATGGAAATTGAAGATGCTATCAGGAAATTTAAAGGTTGTTTAATTAATAAATATTTTTTAAAAATATGTTACTCTAGAGCAGGGGTGTCAAACTTGATTTTATTGAGGGCTGCATCAGGGTTGTGTTTGATCTCGGGGCCCGAGATGGGCGTGGCCAGCATGATGTGGTGGCCTGAGCGCTCTGCCAGTGAAAACAGGCTCCCGAGCGCCATTTTTGGCTGGGATGGCCTCCTGCAGCCCTCTGGCAGTGAAAACGCGGCCCTCACAAGCTTCATTTTCATTGGCAAGGCACCATGGGCCAGTCCTTCGCTGTTTCTAGGGTGACCCCACAGGCCAGATGTAAACACACCTCACAGGTTCGGATCTGGCCCCTGGGTCTTGAGTTTGACACCCCTGCTCTAGAGACATATAAATTCCTTCATGGTGGTGTTTTCACTACCAAATATTTCCCTAGTTGTAAACTCATCTGTTTATGTTAGTAATGTGACTTAGTGGACCATAGGGAGAATACAGATATACAGATAGTCCTCAATTTATGAGCACAATTGAGTGCAAAATTCCTGTTGCTAAACTAAAGAGTTGTTAAGACAATTTTGGCTCGTTTTACAACTTTTCTTGCCATAGTGGTTAAGTGAATCACTGCAGTTGTTACTAACAAGGTTGTTAAATGAATGGTTTCCCCATTGACTTTATTTGTCAGAAGGTTGCAAAAGGTGATCATATAACACCAGGATACTGGTGAGTATCCTGGTGTTAGTCATAAATACATGTCGGTTGCCAAGCATCCAAATTTTGATCACGTGACCATGGGAATGCTGCAATGGTCATAAGTGTGAAAAATGATCTGTCACTTTTTTCAGTGCTGTTGTAACTTTGAACTTTACAACTGTTCTATTTCAAGGACTACCATCTGTATATTTATATAGATATGACAAGTCCTCTGACTGGCATTAGAAGCTCAGTCCTCCCATTTTATTACCATATCCATCAGCTAAGAGATAGGTGTTTTTTTCCCCTTACATTTCTTTGAGTGGCAGGTTTCATTTACCTACCATAATCATCATAAGATGGCCTTTTTCTATTTGCCAGAAAAGGGAAGTTGGAAATCACTTGAGAGGGTTATGCTATATTCACATCCTGAGGAAAGAAGCTAGAAACATAACGAATTAACACAAAATATTGTCTTTTTTTTTTTAAACCCATAGGTTATAAAAGTCTACAAAGCCACAGTTCAACAAACCTTGGATATCATGTTTCTCCATGAAGGAAAAGAATTTTTTACCAGCACTGATGCAGTGAGCCAAGATTCAGCTGATCGTACCATCATTGCCTGGGACTTCCAAACTGCTGCAAAGATTTCCAATCAAATTTTTCATGTGAGATAGATATTTACTTTCTTATTTATTTTGAAGATTCTTATATTGCCGTGTATGAAAAATTTATCATGAACAGCAATTTGTTTAGGAAGCAGTTGAAAGAACTTTGTTGGGTTTCTCAAACCATCACAAAATAGGATGATTTTAGAAAACTCTAGTACAGCCAATCTCGGCAATCTAACCAAGTATTAAAGGTATGCTCAGAAGGCTTTCTCTAAGTCTGCATATTATCAGAAGCTAGTGACACCCTTTTTTTTTGGATAAAGATTTTCTCCAGTTTTGTATCTCAAGTAAGAACCATTTTTGCTGTGTTATTTGCAGACAGTTTTATTGTAACCTGCTTCCCACCCCCTTCCCATGATCCCTATTTGAACTGCTTTTCTTTCTGTAGTCCCAGATGGTAGTGTGATCTTCAAAAGCTGAACAAGGTCAGAACTGATTAAAACTTGGTGATAAAACCATTAGAAATGCTAAGATAGAGAGAGAGGGAGGGAGAAAGAGAGGGTGGGAGAGAGGGTGTGTGTGTGAGAGAGAGAGAAAGAGATGGGAAATACAAGGCAGGAAGGAAAGGTTATTTGGGGACTTTCTCACAGAATGCATAATCATTCTTTCTTTGAAGAAAAGTCTTTCACAAATGAAGGCAAATATACATGTCCCAGGATAACGTTGCAAGATTGAATCTAGGTTGGCTATTGGGACCAGAGGTTTACCTTTCTGAGCTTTTGGACTCATGCTGGAGGGCATCTTCAGGATACTTCTCTCTACTGGAATATATGCTTTGGGTTATTCTGTGAGTTGTATTTATGTGCTGCCTTCTTATTGGTTGGTTGGTGTGTTGATGGCTGGCAATTGGTTGTTTCTTTGTAACCAGCAGCTTGTCAGGTACTTAGGACCCAATGGTTTGGCAGCACAAGAAGACAACAGCCAATCACCCGCCATAAACCCACCAATCAACCCACCAATTTATGTAGGAAGGCACTACATAAATACAACTCACAGAATAGCCCAAAGCCCATAGAGAGAGAAGTTTCCTGAAGATGCATTCCAGTGTCTGAAAATTCAGAAAAGTAAAACCTCTGGTCCTGGTGACCGACCCAGATTCAATCTTTTTCTTTTTTAAATAGAACTTATAAGGATGATTCTCATCAATTAATGGATTCAGTATTCACTGTTTTTTTCAAGAAACTGATTAACTTTTTGGTCATAGTGTTCTATAATGGAGGAGAGTAAGGACTTTGAACTCACTTTGCCGGTGACAAGATATTTTGCGTTTAATAACAAAATTCATTCTGAACAGCCTTCAGAATGTTTAATAAATGGGTTTGGTCAGTCGTAATTGGCTTGGAGCATACAAATTAGAAGGCAGAGATGCAAAGTAGGTGCATGATGCCTGCCAATCAATCATCTGTCAGGGTGAGTCATGTTATTAACTCTCGGGAAGTGATTTATTGCAATCAGGGTCTGGAGTTGAGATTGGCACTTTGGAATGCAAGGGAGCATTGTCTTTCTTTCAGAAAGTAATGGAGACCCAGGACTTCCCAGTTTTGAGGAATTTCTGCCTTCTGCTCCAGAGACAGGGCTTTTAGGTCTTGCAGAACAGTTTAAGGCCATGACTCCCACATTTTGGGCAAAAATACTAATTTTGGGTGGCATGATTAAAGCTGCAGTCCCTGGCCATTAAAAAGTTCCTCACTTCTGTTCTAATCAGATGCAAAACAGACTTGGTGATCTGGCACTGCTTTGGGCCCATGTTCACTCCATGGCTTGTCTGAATAGAAACGGATCAGACAATAGAAGATGAGAAAGACTGTTTGAGACCTGTTATAGGCAGACAATTAATATTGGAATGGAGGAACAAATATTTTAAAAAAGAATTCTGCATACTAAATAGTTTAAAGATAGTTTTTAATATTCTTTGATGTATGTAGGCTGTACACCCAGTGGGACTTAAGCGATGTTTGAGCTTTAGAGCCCTTCTTTCTGGCATCCAAAACTCATATCTTTCTATTAAAAAGAGAATAGACCACAGAGGTGTTGTGTATGGATGTATAGACTCATTTGGAGAGCCTTATTTCTGTCTTATTGAGGGAAGAAAGATTTGGAGCTTTAGAATAACTAAGGCATTATCTACTATCAAGCCTGAACATGTGAAGAAGACGTCTTTGAAGATGCTGCCCATTTGATGATTTTAAAAAGAGATCTTGTACGTTCTTTAGGGAAGGATACTAATCTCAATTATAGCCGAACCTCTGTACAAAGTCAGTGCAAGTTTAGTCTCTTTTGAAATGCAAAGAATAAAGTCAATTGGTATCCATTCAGTTTTGAAAAGGAGAAATTCTGCCCAGGTAGAAAGTGGAGTGTATGATTTAATAAAACGTTCCTATCACCATCTTCCAAGGTGGCCTTTGTCCAGTTTTGCTGATACACAGTTCTGTGTAAAAGCTGTTGTAGTTGATTTGGCATTTGCACTTCTAAAGGAACACAGTGCAGTGAATAAGAAACTGCACTGTGCTCAGTTTTGATGTATTCAGAAACTTTTAGAAGATGATTTTCTCTGGAGAGGAGAATGGGGTTCTTTAATACTCTTCCCAGAGGAAGTATGAATTTGAGAGAAATTGTTGTGGGTGTGTTTAATAATTATTACAAATAGCCTTTAATATTTTTAATTTCTGCTTGTGAATTTCTAGATAACTGGCTTGTGCATTCTCAGACGCCGATGTCCCATTTAAGCAGCGATAAAAAAAGTTTAAATAATTTCAATTTGATTAGCACTTGGAAGGATCTGAAGTTTGCTCATCAACTCAGTTTGGAAAATCTGGACTTTTTCACAAAGTTGATGGAAATTGATATTAGGAAAAATATCTCATGAAAGTTAATGAAGTTTTAACACTACTTTATAATGCCTTGGTAAGACTACACTTGGAATATTGCATTCAATTTTGGTTGCCACGATATAAAAAAGATGTTGAGACTGTAGAAAGAGTGCAGAGAAGAGCAACTAAGATAATTAGGGGACTGGAGACTAAAACATATGAAGAACGGTTGCTGGAATTCGATATGTCTAGTTTAATGAAAAGAAGGGGTAGGACTGACATGATAGCAGTGTTTTGATATCTCAGTGGCTGCCACAAAGAAGAGGGAGTCAAGCTATTCTCCAAAACACCTGAGGGCAGGCCAAGAAGGGTGAAAACTAATCAAGAAGAGAAGCAACCTAGAACTAAGGAGAAATTCCCTGACAGTTAGAACAATTAATCAGTGGAAAAACTTGCCTCCAGAAGTTGTGAATGCTCCAACACTGGAAGTTTTAAAGAAGAGATTGGACAACCATTTGTCTGAAATGAGGGTTTGACTATAAGACCTGCAAGGTCATTTCCAGTTATACTATTCTATATCAATATCTATTCATATTTTCTGGCTTCAACAAATGGTCAAGAAGAAATGAAGCCTGGCAATTTCTATATAAAAAACAAAGGCTCTGAAGCTCAGTTTCACAAAAAACTTTGTTTAGGAACATTTTCCATTCAGAATGGGACAACTCGCTGTGGCTGACTCGCCGTAGTTAACTCATTGTGGCACAACTCGCTGTGGGACAATTCAATGCAGGCTAACTCAAGAGAGGGACAAGTAAATTCCAATGCGCCTTGTCTTGCTTTACGTTTGAATCTTCTCAAATTAGAAGTCCTCAAGACTGGGGTCTCCACGCTCTGGCTCACCCCAGCTGCTCTTGAGTTATCCTGCACTGAATTGTCCTGCAGTGAGTTAGCTGCAGCGAGTCAGCTGGTGTGAGTTGGCCATAGTGAGGTAGATGGGGCAAGACAGATAGGGCAAGTCTGCCATGGCGAGTTATCCTAGACCCTTTTCCATTTCCCCTGTATTTACTATTTTCAGGGATTGCTAAATCTTGCCAAAGTATTGTTTTCTGTTTTCCCCCAAGACATTTTGTGTGAATTTCTAGCATCCTCAGAATAAATGTATGTTCTGTAGATAACATTTAAGTATATCAGTGACCCCTGAAAACTTTCACTTATTTGGGGATGGTGAACAACAAGAGAAGGATAAATTTCATTAATAATTCAGTTTTATTCTCCAACAGGTTACTTTTATTCTCCAACAGATCAGGGATGGGGCCAAAATGAACTTCCTCAGACCATTCCTGACAGAGAATTTTTTTTTGCCCAGTTTAATACTGAATACAGTGATATTTTATTGCCAATGTGTTATTGAGAGAAGTTGAGGCCTTAGAAGTGGTTTCTAGGAGTCAAAGTCATGGCAACTACTTTCTTCATTAATAAGTATTGCTTTGACTGTGTCTCATATATTTTACTCTGTTGTGATAAAATGTAGTGTTCATAAAATATTATCCATAAGGATTAAGTAAATCTGCAGTGGTTCATATGAGCATATGGAGAGACAGACATTTTCAGAAAATGAAATCTATTTTCCAAGACATTTCAATTTAGCTTAATTTTCTGTACATTCCATTATTAGCAATATATAGTATTTCAAAGGGAATAAAAAGATAAGTTGCTATCTTAAATAGATTATAATCTGCTTCAGGAAATTCCTAGAATGTTGCACAGGTGGAAATAGATTCATTGTTTGCAGGGGTAGGTGGAGGTTCAATTGTTTCAGGTTTGGTTGCAGTAGAGTAGAGACAGATTATCTTTTTGTGCTGGGACATTGTTTGTCCCAGCATTTTTATCAGTCTCTAAAGGTTGAAGATGGCATTATAGTAATGCAGATATATCACTGGATAGGAAAGGGTAAACATTTATTTGAGGAATTTGAGGTTTTATTTTAAAAATAAAATAAATACATAAAGTAAATTGGAGAATTGATATTAGGGTTGTGTAGCAGTTGGGAAATAATTCGGAAGAGAGGTTTTGGAACATGTGGGAGGATGAATGCAGCACTTGTCACAACTTTAAGGTAGCTGTGCATTTTCTTGGAATCATGCAGTTGCTCTCTACAGCTGCCAGGTGATCCTGGGGGAAGAATGGCAAGCAAGACCTTATTGTCTGTCCCCTCCCTTGCATATTAGGGCACCTTTTTTGGATCTGAATCTAAAGCACAATCACAATCTTTCATGACACACTTCATCGTATCCTAAACCTGTTGTTGGGTCACCAATTTCTTGAAGGTGTTGATTTGGTGAGAATCTTGAGGGCAACAAGCAGAGACTGATGTATCATATGACCTGCAAGGACAGACCGTATAGTTTGATTCAGAGCCTGTGAACATTTTCTTTCTAATTTTCTTTGCAGGAACGTTTTACCTGCCCCAGTCTTTCAGTTCATCCTAAAGAGCCTGCCTTTGTTGCTCAGACAAACGGTAACTACATGGCTTTATTTTCCAGCCTGCCACCTTATCGAATCAACAAAAAGAAGAGGTTTGAAGGGCACAAGGTATATATCCGTCAATGGGTTTTATTTCTTTTATGTACCAAATTATGTTACTGCTTTTCAGTAGGGATGCAATTTAATAGACGTCAATACTATTGTCTGTAGTTTAGTTAATGTAGAATTTAAATTGCAGTAAAGTAACTAAAAGCATTATTAGCTAATAACTAGACAATCCGTGACCACTTGGGTCATCATTTCAGAGATATTTCCTTACCAGATTCTTCAACAGTGATAGTATTTCTAACACACTGCCTTGAAAATAGCCATGTTGATCTGTATAGCATAATCAAACATCAACATTTTGTATTATGTCAATTAGTTTTATGGTCATAAAGGTAAAGGTTCCCTTCGTATATACGTGCTGGTGGTTCCCGACTCTAGGGGGCGGTGCTCATCTCCATTTCAAAGCTGAAGAGCCAGTGCTATCTGAAGACGTCTCTGTGGTCATGTGGATGGCATAACTAAACCCCGAAGGCACACAGAACGCTGTTCCCACCAAGGGTGGTGCCTATTTTTCTACTTGCATTTTTACATGCTTTTGAACTGCTAGGTTGGCAGAAGCTGGGACAAGTAATAGGAGCTCAGTCCATTACGTGGTGCTAGGGATTCAAACTGCTGATCTTTCTGATCAGCAAGCTCAGCGTCTTAGCCACTGAGCCACTGTGTCCCTTCCTTTATGGTCATATTTGTCATAAAAGATTTTTGAAAATTAGCCAAATTTCAATTCCATGGGAGTCTTGAGCCCTAGATTTTGGGTATTATAAGAGTTAACCCATTTGAGGTTCCTTGGTTCAATAATTGGTGCCCTATGATACACTAGTTCACTCAGTTAAAAGTTACAGAAAGAGAGTTTTAGTGATAGATGATATAGATAGCAGAGAGAGAGAGAGAAAGAGAGAGAGAGAGAGAGAGAGATGATCAATAGATGATAGAAAGAGACAGACAGANGGTTGACTCAGCCTTCCATCCTTCCGAGGTGGGTAAAATGAGGACCTGGATTGTTGGGGGCAATATGCTGACTCTGTAAACCGCTTAGAGAGGGCTAAAAACCCTATGAAGCGGTATATAAGTCTAACTGATATTGCTATTGCTATTGTCAGAGAGAAGTCAAGGCAATAATTCAAGGGAAGTGAAGTGGTCCTGAAGGACTCCAGCCACAATCATCAATTTATTTGAAAACAAATTTCCTAACATTTACTGAATTCTCAACTTTACCTGGGTTTGTTTGGGTTTTTTGGATGATGGACACTCTTCCAAACAATAAAGTAGCATAAAATGTTACCCATTAACTGTATTTTCTGAGGAAGATTTGTGGTCTTAGAAACTTTTTGTAAATAAAGATGATGACAAAAGCTGTTGCTTGTCTTTCCAGATTTTTTTTTTAAATTCAGAAGAAGCAAAACGCTGCTGTGTTCCTTCCCAATCCCTTGAAGTTGACAGATCCACAGCACAAAAATAGTGCTTCGAGTTCAGCTTTTTCATTTGTTCATAATGTTGAAAGTTCCTCAACAGCTTTCATGTGCCTGAATGAACTTTTATGGTTATATGGTTAACAGTTGTGTGATCAAACAGGTGTATTAAGATCTGTTTGCCTTGGGAAGATTAACCAGCACCCATTTTAACAGAAACAAGGATCAGATAAACAAGAATAATCAAAGAAGAAGAAGAAAACATCATTCAAAACAACAACAACAACAACAACAATCGGGAAGAAACAGTAATCAAAGTGAGTAGAAGAAGCTGTCACATATAACAGTCAGCAAGCTCTACTTCCCCATGGATTTATGCTGGTACCTAGCCTACAGAAAGGGAGGCAAGCTCAGAGAACAGCAAGAACCCAACACTTACAAACTTAACAGACATCCATCCTTAGATCCATTAGCAATGATGTGTGAACCTGTGGTCTACATGTGGCTCTGAGGTATCTTTTCTTCAATCCTTGGAATAGCAACCTGTTCCTAACATGAAATTTGCACCAAATGAAATTTGACAAGATTTTTCATAGTTCTCTCATGAAATGAAGTGTATCTCTTGTCCCTCAGTTGAATAAAAGTTACTGTTTCTTATAACAGTATGTCCAGAGCTCCTAGAAGGAGATGTGCATCGATCATCAAGGCAATAATTATTCTTTATCCTTTAGGGTAACTTAACTTTGGCTTCATCACTATGATAAACTTCACTTGGATAAATTTGTGTATGCTGCCAGGATTCTTGACTGCCTCATTCTCTTTTCCAGATTGGCTGCAGCCCCAACATGGAATTACATCTGTTTATTACATTTAACATTTCAATAGATACATTTGAAGCGAGTTCACTTATAAATGGTTTTGATATAACAGAAGGCATTTTTCTGAATAAAAATCTTATGTGTTTGTCTCATTTAAACATTTTTTTTGCCATAGGCTATACACATTCAGTAAAGCTAAAAAAGATTGCAAACCATCTTAACTTATTTAAAATTCTTCGGAGAGAGACTTAGTCAATAATAGAGCTTGCTTTGCACTTAGACCAGGGATCTCAAACTCAAATTGTCCCTAATGCCATATTAATACCATATTAGTTTGTTAGCCTGAAGCCTGCAACTGTGAAGTTCTACTCTTCTATTGATTCAAAATCTCTAGTGAGTCAAACATTGAGAAAATGAAAAATATAATAATATGTCATTAAACATGCATCTATTAAATAAGCAATTTTTAACTGCAAAACACTACTTGTGAATAAGAGCTGCATTCCATAGCCTTTCACTTTGACCATTTGGCTGCCAGTGTTTTCTACTAGCTAAAACATCGTCTTATGTACTGTATGTGTGGGTGGGTGTATTTCAAGATCATATCTAGAACAACATAATCTAAGAAACCTGTGCTAGAATGTCTAAATCTTCCTTCCTTGCTTGCTTCAGCATCATTTATGAGCAGTCCAGGCGTGGCTGTCTCTGTTGGACAAGGAATGAGAAAGAGTGCGCTCATCAAGCAAGATTTGTTTGTTACACAAAGACAGCAAGAGCCTTGCTTGGACCTCCTCCTTGGCTGCTGCCTCCTCCTCCCCCTTGGGCAGGCCTATCTGGGCCTCCTTGATCTTCTAACTCAAGAGACTTGGCGTAGTCTCAGTGCACCAAAGTCGGTAAGAATTCTCAGAGGGCGGTGCTGCTTGTTTGCAAGAAGTCCCAGGTTTCTGACAATGTAGCCCAGCCTGCCAGGAATTACTTTTCCTGGGAAATCTGCTGAGGCAAACTGAAGTGAGACCGCCTGCTGCTGTTCTTCCAGGAGAATCTCCCATGGTCCCCTCAGAGCCCTGGCCTTTTCAGCTGGGAGTATAGATGCCTCCAAAATATTGTGAGTCTCAGAAAATGACTTGCAACCCACAGGCCATGTGATGGAGGGTCTTGATTAGACAGGTTTTGATTCAGTCCTGGGCTAGTCCACAAAAGTCTGGAGAAGAGCGTCTGAAATGTTGGAAAAATATAGCTAAAAGAACCAATCCTCTGTCTGTCGGTTACTTTATGTGTTTCCAAGATTGTGTAACAGCTTGTCAAAAAAATAAAGAGTAAAAAAAAGAGAGGGTGTGGCCTATATACTAACAAACAAATCCTCTTACATTTTAATTCCATTGGTACCCTTACTCACATTGTGAGCAATGTTTGCTTTCTATCTTTTATTTTTGGCCTTCCTTATTCTAGGATTCGCAGTTGCTATCGCTTTGCTTCTTTTTTTCCTCACCTTTATGTTCTCTCTACAGCTAATTAGCTTCTGTCACTCCACTTGCTTGTCTAGCATTCTCTGCAGTTTCATGCTTTTTCCCCATCTGATTTTTCTAACTTCTCTCCTTTCCAGAGATTACTGTTGCCAAGCAACAATTTCCCGTACAATGTGTTTATTGGAGTGGTCCCTTTCAGTCAGAAATCTACAAATTCTTTGTGCAGCTTGAAATCATTCAAAATTTTGTGGCAGGTTGTTGATACGAGATGTTCCTTCCGCTCTCTTCCACTCTAAAATTTTTTGTTCAAAAGGCAACAGCAACCAACAGAAGAAGACATTTAATATATAAAGCATAGTTTTGACCATAGTGCTCTTTGCCAGTAGTTTACATTTATTTTTCTGGCAATGTTCATAGCAATAGCAATAAGTACTTAGGCTTACAGTATATACCGCTTCATAATGCTTCTAAGCGGTTTACAAAGTCAGCATCTTTTCCCCAACAATCTGGGTCTTCATTTTACCCACCTTGGAAGGAGGGAAGGCTAAGCCTGGTGAGATATGAACTGCAAAATTGCAGGCAGCTGGCAGTCAACAAAAGTAGCCTGCAGTACTACCGCACCACCGTGGCTCTTCATTTCTTATTAAGTTATCCAAGCATAATTATTTATTTGCAGAACTAAAGCTCAGTTTAGAGTTAACGCACAAATATTGAAAGAAGAATCTTAATCACTTTGTGTGTTCAGCAAGAATTTTGGCACTTGGCAACAAAAGCAGTCTCTTCATTTTGAAAGTATCCTGTTTCAGAATCCTTTTCGTTCTTCCCAGCCCACTGGACTGCTTGAAAGGAAATTTGCAAAGGGACTTGGTACCTCTATTGGTCTCTTGTCATGCAGCATAACTTTCCAAAACAGAGCGGAACAAGAAGGGAGAGCTGGCAAAATAGGAATTGATTTTAAAAATGATTAGATTCAACAAGGATCTACAAGAAAAATCTAGAACAAAATTTCCCCGTTCATCTCTATGGCAGATGCTGAAGATGAGTTGCTTAGAACAATGCCAAACCATTCCACTCTATGCCCCCTTTTCTTCTTCTCAATTATGCTGGCTCCCTGGGCCAAAAAATGGCAAGAAATGAGCACCGTGTCCTACAGTGGAACACGGCTGACAGAGAAAACTTTACGTTTAATTGTATGAGGTAGACGAGCCTTCTCCATGCTTTGCAATGTACATATGCATACAAACATGCAGAGATGCAATATAAGGAGAGAACAGAAAATAGAAAGACAACATATACATGCATATTCTGATTATGTCTTTATAGATATGTACATTCAAAGTCACTGAAATGAAAGAAAAACATGTGGACTGATTTGACCCCAGCCAGAGCAAAAAAAAACAACCAACCAAAACAACCAAAAGAAGCCGAACAAGATTGGAAAATATGGAGAGAGCTGCTTCATAGCATTAGGCATGGTTAAATGTATAGCACTAGTATCATCACAAACACGTTGCTTTGTGGCATAAAAGAAAATACTGATGCCTCACTGATGGTAAAGTGGTAGGAAGAATCCCATAAACTATGCTGTGCATGTTTTCCCTACTTGATTATTCTTCCCAGCCTGATTGAATGTTGAGAATTAATTGTGGTGTTAGTGATTCTGTCTGTCCATTTTTCAGTTACAGACAAATCCTCAGTTGCTTAGATACAATTCAAGGATGCTGGCAGTCACCTGCAAGGCCCTTCTTGGCTTGGGTCTGGATTACTTAGAGATCCATACCCATATCTCCTTTGTTGTTTTTGTCTGTCCTGTTGGCGTGCTCGGAGTCCTGTCATGGCTAAGGAGAACTTTATGTGTCATAGCACCCGCCCTCTGAATCATGTTCCCTCTGAAGGCTGAAGGCCTTTTAACTTCTGGCCAAATCTTAAAGACTTGATCGCTGCTTGTTCCCAGGTCTCACTGGTGTTACGGATGGATCCCATTTTCTGGACTAATGATTGTTTGTGATTTTGCATGGTAGCTATGTCCAGTATTTATTATGTGTGTCTGTTTGCTTTTATTTTTAATATAATAGCTGCTCAAAGTTATTTATTTTAAATGGATTGATTAAACAAACAAACAAACAAACAAATAATCTACCAGATACCAAGAGTTCTCTTACTCCAGGAAATGGGTGATAATGAGAGTTCCACTGTTTGTTCTTTTCATACTTATTCAGCATGGCTAATGGTAAAGGATTCTGTCCAAAAACACCTGAATGATACATGTTCCTTGTTTTATAGGATAACAACCAGGCTTAGTGTTTTACAGGCTAATAACCATTCTTATCATCTTTTTTCAATGCTTAGGCCCCTGCCTTTTCTGTTTTTTAGCATGAACAATAAAGCGCCAGACTTTCTTTGAAGACAACTTGATATTTTGAAGTTAACTGTTCAAAGAGAACGGATAATGTTAGAATAAAATGTGTTGCGTAAAATAAAAACATCAAGAAATCTAATCAGGTTTTCTTTAAAAGCATACAGAAAGATTCTATGTAAGGTCCAGTCTTCTTCCTTGAAAGAAATTTGATCAATGGTTAAAAAGTGAACACCAAAAGAACCATCAAAAGCTTTTTTTAGATTATCCATTAAATAGTATAGAAAGCTAACTTTGAAATTAATATTAAGGAGTAGCAGTATTAATAGGTGACAAGGATGACAATGACGATGACAGTGATGACTCCAATATGCTGTTTTAGAATTTGTGTTTCATATAGTTTAATAAAATTATAGAATAGAATTCTTTATTGGCCAACTGTGATTGGACACACAAGGAATTTGTCTTTGCTAATAGAATAAATATCATGTAGAAAAGGAGAACTACTAAATGGAAATTGAAGATGCTATCAGGAAATTTAAAGGTTGTTTAATTAATAAATATTTTTTAAAAATATGTTACTCTAGAGCAGGGGTGTCAAACTTGATTTTATTGAGGGCTGCATCAGGGTTGTGTTTGATCTCGGGGCCCGAGATGGGCGTGGCCAGCATGATGTGGTGGCCTGAGCGCTCTGCCAGTGAAAACAGGCTCCCGAGCGCCATTTTTGGCTGGGATGGCCTCCTGCAGCCCTCTGGCAGTGAAAACGCGGCCCTCACAAGCTTCATTTTCATTGGCAAGGCACCATGGGCCAGTCCTTCGCTGTTTCTAGGGTGACCCCACAGGCCAGATGTAAACACACCTCACAGGTTCGGATCTGGCCCCTGGGTCTTGAGTTTGACACCCCTGCTCTAGAGACATATAAATTCCTTCATGGTGGTGTTTTCACTACCAAATATTTCCCTAGTTGTAAACTCATCTGTTTATGTTAGTAATGTGACTTAGTGGACCATAGGGAGAATACAGATATACAGATAGTCCTCAATTTATGAGCACAATTGAGTGCAAAATTCCTGTTGCTAAACTAAAGAGTTGTTAAGACAATTTTGGCTCGTTTTACAACTTTTCTTGCCATAGTGGTTAAGTGAATCACTGCAGTTGTTACTAACAAGGTTGTTAAATGAATGGTTTCCCCATTGACTTTATTTGTCAGAAGGTTGCAAAAGGTGATCATATAACACCAGGATACTGGTGAGTATCCTGGTGTTAGTCATAAATACATGTCGGTTGCCAAGCATCCAAATTTTGATCACGTGACCATGGGAATGCTGCAATGGTCATAAGTGTGAAAAATGATCTGTCACTTTTTTCAGTGCTGTTGTAACTTTGAACTTTACAACTGTTCTATTTCAAGGACTACCATCTGTATATTTATATAGATATGACAAGTCCTCTGACTGGCATTAGAAGCTCAGTCCTCCCATTTTATTACCATATCCATCAGCTAAGAGATAGGTGTTTTTTTCCCCTTACATTTCTTTGAGTGGCAGGTTTCATTTACCTACCATAATCATCATAAGATGGCCTTTTTCTATTTGCCAGAAAAGGGAAGTTGGAAATCACTTGAGAGGGTTATGCTATATTCACATCCTGAGGAAAGAAGCTAGAAACATAACGAATTAACACAAAATATTGTCTTTTTTTTTTTAAACCCATAGGTTATAAAAGTCTACAAAGCCACAGTTCAACAAACCTTGGATATCATGTTTCTCCATGAAGGAAAAGAATTTTTTACCAGCACTGATGCAGTGAGCCAAGATTCAGCTGATCGTACCATCATTGCCTGGGACTTCCAAACTGCTGCAAAGATTTCCAATCAAATTTTTCATGTGAGATAGATATTTACTTTCTTATTTATTTTGAAGATTCTTATATTGCCGTGTATGAAAAATTTATCATGAACAGCAATTTGTTTAGGAAGCAGTTGAAAGAACTTTGTTGGGTTTCTCAAACCATCACAAAATAGGATGATTTTAGAAAACTCTAGTACAGCCAATCTCGGCAATCTAACCAAGTATTAAAGGTATGCTCAGAAGGCTTTCTCTAAGTCTGCATATTATCAGAAGCTAGTGACACCCTTTTTTTTTGGATAAAGATTTTCTCCAGTTTTGTATCTCAAGTAAGAACCATTTTTGCTGTGTTATTTGCAGACAGTTTTATTGTAACCTGCTTCCCACCCCCTTCCCATGATCCCTATTTGAACTGCTTTTCTTTCTGTAGTCCCAGATGGTAGTGTGATCTTCAAAAGCTGAACAAGGTCAGAACTGATTAAAACTTGGTGATAAAACCATTAGAAATGCTAAGATAGAGAGAGAGGGAGGGAGAAAGAGAGGGTGGGAGAGAGGGTGTGTGTGTGAGAGAGAGAGAAAGAGATGGGAAATACAAGGCAGGAAGGAAAGGTTATTTGGGGACTTTCTCACAGAATGCATAATCATTCTTTCTTTGAAGAAAAGTCTTTCACAAATGAAGGCAAATATACATGTCNAGAGAGAGAGAGAGAGAGAGAGATGATCAATAGATGATAGAAAGAGACAGACAGACAGACAGACAGACAACTACTGCTAACAATGAGACTTCTAAAATGTGGCCGTCACATTAAATACCTAGGGAAGCGATTAGGCCATTTTGGTACAAATAGATATGTTTATTATAGTGTAAAATTCCACAAAGCTATAGATCATATTGCAATTCATTAATGAGCATCTTGATTTATTTACTCTTAATTCTTGACTCAAACAGGTTGAAGGATTTGCTGTAGGCTGTGAATTTTCACCTGATGGAACACTTCTTGTGACAGGAAGTTCAGATGGCAAAGTATTTTTTTACAACTATCGCACAGCTCAAATTATCCGCACCATGTCAGCACATAGTCAAGCCTGTGTGAATGCAGTCTACCATCCAGTCCTTCCATCACTCCTTGCTACCTGTGCCTGGGATGGGATAATCAAGATCTGGCAATAATAGGAAAGTTAGATAGCCAACTGGCTTTCCAACTTTGTAAATATACTTTTTTTTCCCTTGTAGTTTAATTTCTTAGAACTTTTATGTTCTGTACAATGGTACACCAAACCAGTGCTTCTCAACCCTAGTGACTTTATGATTTGTGGACCTCAAATCCCCAAATCCCCCAGGCACAATGCTTGCTGGGAAATTCTGTGAGTTGGTTAACATATTTAGAGCAGCTAAGATTTCAGAAATACATACTAAATCAATCTTACTAAGACTATGTGGGGCAGGAAATATAAAATTCTCCAGTCATGCTACACAAATAATTAATTTGCCTGGCGCTGTTTTTGAGTCATACTTTGCCCTTAACTTAACTTCTCCAAAGAGTTTTTTGATGCCGTTACAGCTACAGTATTCTTTTAAATAGCTGCTACTAGCTTTCTCCAAGTTTTTGTTGCTGGGAATTAGGACAATATGAGCTAGATTGAAAAAGGAATTAAAGATTAACTGAAGCCCTAAATCTATATGTTCTGCCTGTTTTAATTGGATGTGGAATGCACAAATTTAATTGATAGAAGTAATTAAAAGGAATTCAATATCATTCCAACTTCTTCTGGGAGCCTAGATTTTTTAAATCACTTTAGCATTACTAAATCAGCACTCTTAGATTAAAACTTAACTATTCTTTAGCTTCCGTCACTGCTTTACCCTTGTACTATTACTTGATCCGGCAGGCTTTTCATCCGGTTTTAGTGGAGTTACACTATGCTACAACTGGTGTAGCCATGAAGGCTATTCTGAGTGATGTGGTTAGTGGGGGTCCTTGGTGCTCTCTCAGCTTGCTTGTTTTCTTACAGATGTGCTGGCACGATGGTGTTACTTAGTTAGGGTAATGAAACATCTGCAAGAAAACAAGCAAGCTGAGAGAGCCCCAAAGACCCCTCATTTCAATCCTGAGCTACAAATTCTCCTTCATTGGTAATGTGGTTAGGGTATGATCCTGATATCTTTATGGTCACCTGAAGCCAGGAATGGGATTCTACTGGTTTAACAACCAGTTCGCTGAGCACACACTTGTGTACACTGCAGATGTGTGCACAGTTTAAAGAAGACTTACCTTCTGGATTACTGTTTGGGAAAGAAAATAGCTGAGGTGCGGCAATCCATTCTGCCGCGTAACTCAGGTGAGAAGATAAAGGTAGGTAAAGCGCAGGGGCGGGCGGGAGGGCGTGCCCACTTGCTAGTGGGAGTGAACCGGTTTGCTCCCAGTTGATCTTCGGAGCTACCACTTCACCCAAACTGGTCCGAACTGGTAGAATCCCACCCCTGCATGAAGTTCAAAGAGATTTGGATGCTTGAGAATCTCCATAGAGATTTATGACAATGTACATGTATGGAGGATACTTGCAATAAAAAAATCTCATCAATTTGCTTATATATATAATTTTAAATAATTTTGTTATAAAAATTTACAGCAAACCTGGAAGCAATAGCATTTCTAGCAGCATAGCTATTTTTGTAAACCTCAAGGATATAGTAAGCTTCTTTTCCCAAAATCACACTTTTCTTCCTGATTGGGAGCTGATATATTTAATTATAATAACGGAACTGTTTTTGTTGGTGCCTTGCATTAATGTAAAATTTACTCTGAAGGAACACATTAGGTTTCTACAGAATGTAGGGAGAGGAGAGTAAAAAGTTTAAAGTGCTCCATGGAAACATATTGGAGGTAGCCCACCAGGGCCACACCTAATAAATTATCTTTCACATACGGTAGCCAGGAATGGAATCACTTAGAAATTTATCTGTCTTTTCTTTGCAAAATATAGAGTATACTTTTATATTTTGCTAAAATGTGCAAAATAATATACATGTTACATATATAATATGATGCATAAAAATTAAAATTTCAAAGTACTCTAAATGTAACTTAAAGTTTCCTGTTGTAAATATATTTTTTCTAAAATATTAACTGTAAAGTACTCATTTTCAAACCTATTTATATATTTTTATTGACTGAATGTATCTATTGATCAACTTTCCTGTGCTCAGCAAGACTAACATTCACTAAGATTAATAGTCTTTTATTTTTTAAGTTGTTTTAACTTAACATGCACTTAATATGTTTCATAAAACATAAATTTTAACAGATTTTTATAATTCTTAGTTGATGATTGCCTTGTTTAATGATCGTTTGAAGTTACAATGACACTAAAAAGTTACTTTATGACTGGTTCTCAAACTATGACCATCACAATATCTCAATGGTCACTTGGTCCCCATTTGTGCACTTTACAGTTGGCTTCCAACAAGCAAAGTTAATGAAGAAGCAACTGTGAAATTGCAAGTTGCAGTAATGCGATGACTCACTTAATGACCATGTCATTTAGTGATGAAGTTGCCAGTCCCAATTGTGGTTTTTAAATGGGGCCTATCCATGTTTGGTCCAGACATTTTCCTCCCTATAAATAAATACCCGGACAATGGCGGATTCTCAGCTAGTAATTTAATATAAAAGCACAATAATAAAATGGCATTAAAAGAATCTTCTTCCAAAAGCTGCAACTGGGCTAACATGAAATCTGCGGAGTTATTTGGAGAGTGACAGTACTTTCTCTATGCCTTTTAGCCTCAATGTAGCTATCCAAAACCAAGAAACCAAAATTGAGAGTAGATAAAGAAACCAAGAAGGTAGGAAAGAGCTGTGGTGTCATAAGTATATCACATCTGGGCTACAAAAATCAACAACCTATAAAGGTTACACAAGCAATCACAACCCCGAAATACAAGTCTATTTGTATGGAAGGGAGAATACCATCTACATTAATAAATCAACAATCTTTCAACCTAAATTGTAAGATTATTCTGTCCAATAGCTAATCATTTCTGTTTTCCTAATAAAGCTACATTCAATCTTCTCCTAGGCTTCAAGAGGATCTTCAATTTTTTGGATCAGGTTTTTTTTAAATATAAACTATAATTTATATAAGCTGAGGAAGGAATGAAGAGAAAGAAATTGTGAACTTTTAAAATGACTTTTAAAATGAAAGTAGTGTACTTGTTCTTTTAAGAGTGATTTATTTTAGCCATTATGTCCAGAAAAGTACTTTAATAGTGTACAATACTTCACCAATAATGATGGTTGGTCCTTGACTCACATTTCCTACATAGAGGTTACTGGTTTAATTCTCTTGATAGAACACTTCATCACTCTGAAAATAAAATTCAAGTAATGCCACTTTGGAATTATTCTAGATCAAAGGTGCATAAGCATACCGAGGGGCCTAATGTACCTGTCCAACTGCCCCCATTTATTTGTACCCATTTCCTGTGTTCTTATTCATGTTTATTCTTATTCCTGTTATGTTGTACATGAGTGACAAACTAAATAAGCAAATAAATTTCATTACCTCAACTTTTTGCAAGTAAGTTTTGGAAAATTCACAGTGTACTTAACAATGTTGCACTTCAGAGGTTGTCAAATTTTCAGACTATGGAAACCTAGTTAAAAGAAAAATTCCTGGAATCCTAGACCAAGAGGAAATGTACTAATGATAGAATTATTTATTTAGTGTATGGCAAAAATGTTAAAAATCACATCACAATTACATTCTCAATGAGCAAATCTGAAGCTGTTTACTCTCTTTACAAATTCAAAGGTATTTATATAGTCAATACATGATGGAATTACATACAGAAAGTCTCTGAAGTTTCCCTGATGCTTGGTGCTCAACAGCTTATTTGTTTTCCTGCAGATGTTTCATTACCCAAATTAAATTTATATTTACTGACAAAGAAATAAAGGGAGACTAGTAAAGATCCATTTCAAGCTATTTAGCTCTTGTCAGCTAGCCATACCCTTCTGGGATTCGAACCTGGGCTGCTTACATATTAGGTAGACGTATTAACCTCTAAGCTATGGGATCTCCTTGCTTTGTTGGCTATACCAGAAAAGAGAAACATTGTTTTTTTTTAATCAGGGCAACCTGGTCTACCCAAATATGGAACAAAAGCGGAAGTAGTATGCTTCACCCCATATTTGGATAGACCAGGTTGCCATGATAAAAAAATAATAATAATTACCCAAATTAGGTAACAGCACTGATAATGTTGCCTAGTTTGGGCAATGAAACGTCTACAAGAAAACAACCAAGCCCAGAGATCACTAAGGATGCCTCATTTGAGCTATAAATTCTCTCCTTCATTGGTTTCCCTGATGTACACTCAGAAGGTACTGTTCCACATTGTGTCTGCTTTGGAACACTTCAGCTCCATTATGAAGAGGAAAATTTTCCCCATTTCTGGAGGAGATTACAGTCTGCCATGTTGAATCCTAGTCCTAGTGAACATTGAGTAGGTTTTATAGGGTAGATTGAATCCTTTTGGTTCAGCTCTAAAGCAGGGAACTTTGTGACATTCTGGTGGAACAGTAGAGGACCATTCTTGTGTCCAGACTGAAGCAGATAATGATATTCTAATGCTAGAAATTGGCAGTAAAGCAAAAAATAAACTGATTATTGTAAATGCAAAATTAACATTTTGAATGTGAAAAAAATAAAACTTTAATTTCACAATTAGCTTGGGAGATTAATGTTTTAACCAAACAGATCAATATTCAATTATTAGGTGTGACTGCATTCCTTGGGGGAAAAATGTTCAATATTTGGAATAATTGATGCTACTTGTAAGCAGAGGTCATCTTTTATACTTAGTCTATTTCTGTGCTGGCTTGTTCTCTTTCAAAGGTATGTTATTTGCAAATGGCATAAGATATTTCAGTATTGACAGGCAATATTTTTTTTAGAATCTCTAGCCAGAAAATCTGTACAAAGAAATGTGGTTTTTAATGTGAAATTAGTTAAAATGGATCTACATTGTTTCTTCTTTAATGGTAATTCAGATCCAGTATAGTCAACATAATGCTTCTGGATCTGGCTAATTTTTTTTATTTTAAAGGAGAAAATATGCCCTTCCTGTGGCACATAAATCAGACAGGTGTTATATCACCAACGTTTTTGCTATTTTCCCCGAGGGAAATTTTGTTTGGAAGATTTAGAAGGCACACAAAATTATTTTAGAAATGCATTCACTTCAATGTGTACGTTTAAACTGAATTGCAATCATTTGACTTTGACATTTGAATCTATTTATATGTATACCTTGCAGTGAAACACTAATATCATTCAGATAAGTAAATTCAGCAGCCAAGTATACAATCTTTTGCAACCAACTATTGCCACTCAATTTTTGTGCTACTTCAAAAGAATGTTCTTATAAAAAAGAAATATATCTTCTTACCACTTATAAAGTGAAACCAATATTTGCTGTGAAACAGTCACCTCACTTCAATATACAGGAGCAATGTGTTCTCTAGACAACATAACACAGTAAATGCCTTAGAATTGAGTGTTCTTGCTTTTGTAAGATTTGTTATTTTAACTGCCTTGTTGGGTACAATCCTGAATTCTGTTGGCATGTATTACAAATAAATGACAAGACAGCAGTGATTATGCTTAATAGGCGGAGCTGTATTTTTCATATGGGCCCCATTACCTGACATTATTCTGACTATAACTGCTGCTCCACTATTGCATATACTGCAATACAAATGCAAAGAGATTTTGTGATATTTTTTCCATTAATATAAAATAGATCAATGTAACAATTCACTTCCTGTAGTTCAAGTAGGAAAAGGTTTGCAAATAGGCATATCTTCTTCACAGATGACTCAGCACAAGCATAA